ACAGAAATTCATCGACGTGTGTTTTCATGTGCGATTGGAGTTTTTGTTTTTGGGTGAATCGTTTCTGGCACACGCTGCATGGAAATGGTCGTTCGCCAGTGTGCTTGAGCATGTGACCGATCAAATTGCTTTCATATGTAGTAACATATTCGCACAATGAACACTTGTGTCGCTTTCCATTTGTTTTGCCTTCAGTTGATACCTTTTTGTCACCAAAACTGTTCGCTTTGCTAATATTACCGGTTTGGGCTGCACTTTTCTTTGTCACATCTTCATCCGGTTCATTCAACTTCGGTATCGGGAAACGCGTGTTCTCACTGTTTTGTGGCTTTTGATTTTCGTCAGAGCTCTTTCGTGGAACTTGACTAGCTTCATCCTTAACCTTTCCGATCTTTACTTTCGGTTTAACCACACCCGTATCATGAAAATCGTAGCAAACGTCGTTCACTTGATCGCGACCAATCGCATTGTCAACTCTTCCATTGAATGTGTATGTTAATCTCGACACCACCATAATACCGTCTTGTTCATCTGACTCTTGTTTGACAGTCGGTTCCTCTTTGATTTCCATTCCACACAAAATCGATTCATTTCGGGACGCGATGGCATCAGATTCTTGTTCATCAGGCGACTATCTATCGTGACCATTCATTGCGACGCAATGTCGGTGCTGTCAATCAGAAATCAGAATGGTTGTTCAATGTTCATTATTTGAAACCACACATGGCACAAAAACTTGAAAAATTCCATTTTGGCAATAACTCACCTTTTTTCTACAAAATAAACTTTTTGTTTCGGAAATGCGGAAAAAATTGATTCAAAGACTAAACTCGTCGATTAATGTCCGCAGCGCACAGATTGAGAAATGTTGTTGAAATGACTCTGTTGAGCAGAGCAAAAATGGCGTCTAGTGATGGGCAATATCTACCCACCCGAATAAATACCGGGTATTTATCGGGTATTTACCCGAAGGGCTGAATAAGTACCCAAAAATGGGTATTTATGGGTATTTTTAAAATATGTGATTTCTTTGAATTTTTGTTGAATTCAAATCAGATTATTCAAGTTTCAGCTGTTTTTGTACGATAATGTAGCGTAATATCCAAGTTGGTCTCATTGACACCGAAAAATAACCGCATATTCACACATTTGGTTGTGTTGCTCATGCACTGAATTTACTTTCTTCGAGCGAAAATTTTTCAAAGCAAAAAAAGTCACGAATAAAATAAAAATGCCCCGTCCTGTATAGTTTATTCAGCCAAAAGCAACGTGAAATGGAGACCCATGTGACTCTTAAACTACCCTCTGAAGCTCGATGGGTATACGAACTACAGGCTCTCGAATCGTTGATCGCAAAAAAAGGAATTTCACGGTTAATGGTAGCTAATCCAGATATTTCGGCCGATTTTGATTAAATAAACGCGAACGATGAAGAACCAGAATTGCCAGGCGATGTGAAAATATTAATATTGGACAATCAATTTTGGTTAAAATTTGAAGGACCTCACGAAATATTGAACACATTTGGATGATATTCATAAATCACATAAACTATTGAGTAATATGTTCGCACCAGTGGATTCGTTGGCTAAATCTTCGAATGTTTTTAATGCTTGCAATAAAAAAAATGCGGACAAATCTGTTCAAGAACGCAAATATAAAATAATGAAACCGATCATGATAGGTGCAGCATTACTTTTATTGTTTTATCAGCCAAAAAAGTAAAACTCGACGAAGAAGCGGTGATGACTCAATTGATAAATTATCGAGTAAAAGCAAAAATTTGGGGCATGGATTTCGTTTGGGTCTCTCGTGCAAATGTTAGTCCGTTGGTTTGGTGAAAATCATTTTTTGGACATAGCAGAAAAAATTCTCACGATTTCATTGACTTCTACAAAACAGAGAGTACATTTGGTTCATTCACAGTGTTCAGACACAGAAGAGAAATCGTTTGACAACGGAAACATCGGGTATAATTATGAACATCGCACACAACTATAAGTTGATGCAGGCTACAAGTAGAAAGCGAAAGAATGCACCAAAACCAATACCAGTTCAAAGCGAATGTGTCATGATAAAAGTTCAGAAAAAAGTTTAGATGACAAATAAAATGAAATTTCTGTGTCTTTCATTCATATTATCACTTTTTAACAGTTTTTTTGTTAAAATTTTGCTACTTTTTTGGCTATTTCGAAAATACATATAAATACCCAACAAATCGGGTATTTACCCGGCATAAATGGGTATTTACCCAGGAAATTTACCCAAAGACCATTGCAAATTTTATCATAAAAATTAAAGGGCTAGCATATCCGCTAGGTATCGTTTTAGTCGGTTGATATATTGAACCAAAAAAACAAGTTCACAGCGCTTTCAGCGCTTCAAACAAAACCGTTATGAATCTGACTTTTTTCAATAAAAAATAATCCAAAAATATTTTATAATAAAAAAAATGTAGAAAAAAGTTGTAAATTCAATTTCTCAACACACAGTTTATAAAAAATATTTTATTTGCATCAATAAAACTTAGGAAAACTACAATTAGTTCACTGCAAACGATTTCCACTTGAAATTTGAAACAACAACACACTTATCACTTGTCAATATGGCGAATGGGTGTTGTAACGGATTTTCGTTAGATGTCGCTGTTAGTTTCGAAGTTTCAAACTTCAAATGGGAATCGTTTGCAGTAGAATAATTGTTGTTTTTCTAAGTTTTATTGATGCAATTAATTTTTTTTTATAAACTCTGTGTTGAGAAATTGAATTTACAATTTTATTTTACCTTTTTTTTATTCGAAGATGTTTTTTATTTAAAAAAAGTCAGATTCATTATTCATAACGGATTTGTTCACGGCGATGCTAGCGATTCAAGCGGCATATGAACGCTTTTAAAGCGGCCTTTTAAATTTTATGATAAATTTCATAGTTCATATTGCGAACGTATTTAAATACCGGGTAAATTGCCCATCACTAAATGGCGTCGCGAAAAAAGAAAATATTTAGTTTGACGTGTAGTCAATGCTCTGTGATGTGCCTTGTGCTGAAACGATAATGAAATAGCAACGGTCGAATAGCGCACACAGTCACACACCGCAATGACAAGTGTCAAAAGTCGAACTTCGAAATATGGTGTCGTGTTGCCACAATGACTTTCGAATTTTTCGATGAGTTCGGGTTGCATTTTGAAAATGTACGAATAAGTGGTAATTGACGAAACAGAGGATTATCATTTCTGAAAATTGATTTTCTTCTGGATGAATCTTGGAAGGATTTCGTAATGCATTTCGAATTTTACATCAAAAAGTCTTCACAAAAACTGCATTTAAAATTTAAAATTTCAACTTTGCGAAAACGGCCAAAAAATGAAAGCTGACAAATTGGAACTTGAAATTTGGTCGAAAACAAGAAAAACTGGCCTTATAAGTACACCCTATAAGCGGTATGGGGCCTTGAAATCATGATTTTCCCGAATTTGGTTAAATCCTCAAAATTTAACTTTCAAATGCGTGATTTAAGAATTGTTCACATTAAACCGTGGGCTAAATAGGGCAAAAGTTGTAGGAAATGGTCCAAAAAGTCTAAATCAGTAATAAAAAGCAAGCACGTTTTACCATTTTTGGGTTCAAATAGGCAAGAATATCAGTTTACGGAAACCCTCAGTATTTAACTTTCACATTATGGTGAATTGTTTTGGGAAATCGCGTTTTTCGACAGTCTGCCCATCCAAAACATTTAGCCGGCCTCAAACCAAGCACTAAAAGCGATGTCTGTGGCTTGTTTATGGGGATTGCAGGTCAACACAAGATCACTAGATAGGTAAACGAGTTTTTTTTATAAAACCATGAAAGTAAAATCCCAATAGAAATCCCAATTGTGATATTTCAAACATCACGAAACTTTGTGGATCTTGTTTTTTCATCAAAAAACTCCATCTCTGAAATTTTGAAGCCAATCGAAAGAGATTTACGGGTACCTCCCATACAAATTTGGCCTTTTTTGCCAATTTCATGAAGAAAATAAGAAATCTTCCTTCTGACTTGTTCCTTCTGTTGGGCGAATTTCTTGAAGCAAGATGAACACTTGATTTTCAATGAACGAGGATTGGTGTGGGATTTGCGGTGTCGTTTCAAGACACTTGATTGATTGAATTTCTTTGAGCATTGGTCGCATTCGGATGGTCTTTCGCCGGTGTGCACGTGGAGATGACTTTTCGAAATTGAAAAAATAAATGTTTTAGCCAGTAAACATATCTCACCCGAATTGAAAGCAACAACAAAAAATGCTTATTTTTTAAGAATTATTTTCTTTTTGCATGAAGAACTTTGATAAAAGTGCACTTCAGATAGTACGCCAGAACAACCGATGATTTCGACAAGAATTTCGCATTTGACCGAAAATCAGTAGATGTCGCGGCCATTCAACCGCACCCAATTCAAACTCTCTTTTATGTAAATTTGTTTGTTTCTTCAGTTGAACATTGCACGAATGTGAGTTTTATTCCCAATTTTTGATAAGGTTTATTTTAACTGTCTCAGCGATAGGAGAATGGTTTCAAATAACCTAAACTTCATAATATTTCTGGATTCTGGAGTTCGAAATCAGTCATCTCAAAACAGTAGTTTAAAATCAAATCCCTTGAAATGTTCAGTCTTTAAATTAAAACTCAGACTCTAATCAACTATGTTTGATCTCGATGCTGCTGAAAAGTAACCGGTTGTTCAGTTGAACTCTCTCGAATATTCCACTTGACTGTGCCAGTGCTTGTTAGAGTTTATAGTCACAGTAGCTCGGATTCGGTTTAAGAACTTTGATTAGTTTCATAATGAATCAATTTGTAAAAATTCAATTACGTAAATAATTTCAATTGGAATAAAAATTCCAGGTTTTATATTTGATACCCATTTGTATTTGTTTTTATTCAATGCAAATTGATGTTTGAGCAAAAATTGTGTCTTTACAAGTGATCGATTTCAAGTATAATTCCTTGGCAGCAGACAATTACTTGTGAATCTTCTTGTGTTTGTTGAGAGTTGCCATTTGTGAGAAGCACTTCGAGCAGGTTTCACATTGGAATGGCTTTTCGCCAGTGTGGATTCGCATGTGGTCCATCAAATTTGGTTTATGATCGGTTGTGTAGCTCTTGCACAAATTGCATCGGTATCCGCGTCGCTTGCACTTGGCTTCATGATTTTCCTTTTCGTTCTGTTCGGCGAAGTTTTTGAAGCAAGTCGAACACTTGATTTTCAATGGACGAGGACGAGGATTGGCGTGAGTTTTGCGGTGGGTTTTAAAGAACTTGCTTGATTGAATCTTTTTAAGCATTGGTCGCATTCGAATGGCCTCTCGCCGGTATGAACACGCAGATGACATTTCAAATTCGTCTTATGCACACTAGAGAATTCCTTGCACAGATGACACTCGTAGCAACGCACCTTGCAACCAGATTCATGTTCTACCTTCTCCTCTTTGCGATGAAATCCTTGCGAACAATTTGAGCAGCTGAACAAAAACTCAGCGACATGTGTTTTCATGTGCGATTGGAGATGTTGTTTCTGGGTGAATCGCTTCTGGCACCCGCTGCAGGGAAATGGTCGTTCGCCAGTGTGCTGGAGCATGTGTCTTTTCAAAGCAGTTGTAAAGTCGGTGACATAATCGCATAATGAACAGTTGTGTCGCTTCCCATTTGTTTTGCCTTCAGTTAGCTTATCCTTGTCATCAAAACTGTTGGCATTGCTATTTTTCCCGGTTATAGCTGCATCGCCATTCAACCCACTTGACTTCTGATTCTTGTCCTTGGAAAGATGCTTCTTTGGAATGCTTTGTGGCGTTTGTTCTTTGCCAAAGCTTCTTCCTGGAACTTGTATCGCCCAAACTTCGACCTTTTCAATCTTTACTTCCGATTTTACCTCATCCAAGTCGTAGAAATCAAAGTGAACGTCGGTGTCAGTCATTTGTGTACCACCAATCGAATTATTAAGCAATCCAATGGCTGTGTGTATTGACCGCGACACCATCAATATTTCGTCGGAGACTTCATTCTCTTGTTTGAGGGTCGGCTCCTGTTTGATTTCCATTCCACAAAAAATCGATTGATTTTGTGATGCAATGGCATTGAATTTCTGCCTATCAGGTGGTTCTGTACCGTGAATGTTCATCGCTATGCAATTTTGGTGCTGTCAATCAGAAATCAGAATGACCTTTTGTTGGAATCACACATGAAAACTTAAAAAAATACACATTTTTGTTAAAGCTCACCTTACTGTACAGCTGTTTTTTTTATTGTGAGTAATTATTCAGAACTGAAATGTTTAATTTCGTTAATGCAAAATTAAATTGCTCGAAAATCCAAACTCAGCGAATAAACTATAGCTTGCAAAAAAATGCGTGTTGAAATGACTCTGTTGAGCAGATCAAAAATGGCGTCGCGAATAAAAGAAAATATTTAGTTTGACGTGTAGTCGGTGCTAGGAGATGTGAGGTATGTGCCGATGCGCTGATGAAATAGCAATGAACGAACAGGGCACACAGTCACACGTTGCAATGACAAGTGTCAAAAGTCGAACTTCGAAATATGGGGTAGTGTTACTGCAGTGACTTTGGAATTATTCGATAAGTTCGGATTGTACATTTTGAAAATGTACGAAATATAATTGGTAATTTGCAAAGTAGCGAATATTTCATTTCTGAAAATTGATTTTCTGATTGAGGATGACATTCGATTGGATGAATTTCGTGATACATTTTGAATATTACGTCGGAAAATTGTGACAGCTTTGATCGTTCAAGTGGCAAGCTTTGCGCAAAATCGCATTTTGATAAATATCATCCGTAACAAACCGCTATCAAATCAAGATTTCATGTAGGAAATAATAATTGCAAACATGTGTTTTAAGATTGCTGAGCATCTCAGCATTTCGTAAGGCACGGATATATCCGAGCATATCGACGACGAATACTGTATAATACAGTGGCGTGTGTTGCTACGTGCAGCCGCAACGACTCGACCGAAGTGTGTTCAGTTGATGTGGCTGCACGCAGAAACAACATACACATTCCGGTCGAGTCATTGCGGCTGCACGTAGCAACACACGCCACTGTATTATACAGTATTCG